CCGCTGCGCGCCACTCACCTCTCCTGCTGCTCCCGCTCGCGCCGCTCCTGCTCCTCGCGCTCCCGCTGCTCCCGCGCCTGCCGCCGCTTCTCGGCCAGCAGCCGTGCCGCCTCCTCCCGGTCCGTGGTGCCGGCCGTGGGGCGCCCGGGGGTGCCCGCGGGGCTGGGAGCACCGCTCGGCGCCGCGGGGCTGCCGGGGACTGCGGATGGCAGCAGCATCAGCGGCACCGGTGGCGGCAACCCGGGGGCCGCTGTGTCCCGGGCGCCTGGCGCGGGACCCACCTGTGGGCGGCTCAGGTGGCTCGGCGGGGGCCTGCACCCCCGCGCCCCCCTCCTCATCCTCCTGCTGCTCCTTCCGCTCGGGGGCCTTGGGCGGCAGCGGGGGCTCCCGGGGGCTGGTCCGTGCGCGGGGGCCGCGCGGCGCCGGGGGCCGCCGGGGGCAGGCGGGAGAGCCGGGCTGCGTGGCGGGCGACGTGGGCCGCTCCCGGGGGCTGGCGCTGCCCGGGGCAGGGGGACACAGGGGTGACCAGGGAGACAGGGAGGGGACAGGGGACAGAGCCTCCCCGGGGGCCAGGGACCATCTCCTACCTGCCGTGCGGGAGCGGGGGCCGCGGGGGCACCGGGGAACGCCTGGGGCCACGCTCGCGGGCCAGGGCACTGCGCTCCTTGCCGCTGTCCCGCTCCTTCTTCTCCTTCTTCTCCTTCTTCTTCTGCGGGGGGCTCAGGGTGAGCGGGGCCGTGGGCACCGTGGGGGCCGTGCGGGCTGCACTCACCGTCGAGGGCTGGGGCGGGCGCCGTGCGGGCGCCTCGGGGCTGGCGGCCGCCCCGCTCCGTCGCTCGCGGCACCGGTGCGGCAGGCGGCGGCCGGCGCAGGGGCCCAGGGGGCTGGCGGAGGCCGAGCGGGGGCACACGGGCACTGCGGGCGGCGCGGGCGGTTGGTATAGGCGTCCCGGGCGCCGTGGCCGCAGCACACGCCGCCCGCCCCACTCACCCTGCTCCTTGCCGTTGGGCGCCAGTGTCACGGCGCTGCGGCTGCGCGCCAGGAACGACAGTGTGGGCGTCATCAGGCGGTCCACGATGCTGCTCTCCCAGGGGCTCAGCTGCAGGCTGCGGTCTGCGGGGGACGGCGGGTTAGCGCGTCCTGCCCTGACCTGCTGCAGCGGGTGGGACGGCGCCCGGCGGGACATGCAGCGCGCGGCACCGGCAGCCGGGAGGCCGCAGACCAGCCCGGGGCCACTGGGCCACGCGGGGCAGCACCGAGAGGCCCCGTCCCCTGCCCGGGCCGCCGCTCTGCTCAGCAGCCCAGGCTGCGCTGCCCAGCGCGGCTGCTGCAGAGCCGCACGGCTCCTGCACCGTGGGGATGGAGCAACACCGGGAATGCTGCTGTGGAGCTGCACGGCTCCTGCACCGCGGAGATGGAGCAACACCGGGAACGCTGCTGCAGAGCCGCACGGCTCCTGCATTGTGGGGATGGAGCAACACCGGGAACGCTGCTGTGGAGCCGCACGGCTCCTGCACCGTGGGGATGGAGCAACACCGGGAACGCTGCTGTGGAGCCGCACGGCTCCTGCACCGTGGAGATGGAGCAACACCGGGAATGCTGCTGTGGAGCTGCACAGCTCCTGCACTGCGGAGATGGAGCAACACTGGGAATGCTGCTGTGGAGCCACACGGCTCCTGCACCGTGGGGATGGAGCAACACCGGGAACGCTGCTGTGGAGCTGCACGGCTCCTGCACCGCGGAGATGGAGCAACACCGGGAACACTGCTGCAGAGCCGCATGGCTCCTGCATTGTGGGGATGGAGCAACACCCGGAATGCTGCTGCAGAGCCGCACGGCTCCTGCACCGCGGAGATGGAGCAACACCGGGAATGCTGCTGTGGAGCTGCACGGCTCCTGCACCGCGGAGATGGAGCAACACCGGGAATGCTGTTGCAGAGCCGCACGGCTCCTGCACCGCGGAGATGGAGCAACACCGGGAACGCTGCTGCAGAGCTGCATGGCTCCTGCACCGCGGAGATGGAGCAACACCGGGAACGCTGCTGCAGAGCTGCATGGCTCCTGCACCGCGGAGATGGAGCAACACCGGGAACGCTGCTGCAGAGCTGCATGGCTCCTGCACCACGGAGATGCTGCAGCACCAGCAATGCCTAGCTACACCGCACGATGCAGGCACCGTGGAGATGGAGCAGCACCAGCAATGCCAAGCTGCGCCGCGCCCTGCCCGTGACGCAGGAGCTGGAGCCCTGCTGGGAGCCTCAGCTGTCCCACACGATGCTCGCGCTGCAGACGGAACGGCACCGAACACCCAGCCCTGCTACACGGTGCCGGTGCTGCAGACACAGCAGCACCGAGCACCCGGTCAAGCCACACGATGCTGGCGCTGCAGACGGAGCAGCACCGAGCACCTGGCCGCTGCACGGCGCTGCTGCTGCGGGAGCCAGTGCCCTGCCGGGAGCCGCCGGCTCCACCACGGGAAGCGGAGGAGTTTGCAGAGACGGTCGCAAAAGTCCGTGGGACACGTGACAACGTTGGGCTGCCGGGCACCCCCGCCCTTGCAGCGCCGCCGCTCCCTCCCGCCGCAGCCACAGCTGCTGCGGCTATTTATACCGCGGGACGGGACGGGATGGGACGGGATGGACGGCGCGGGCCCCATCACCAGGCAACGAGAAACACAACAGCGGCGCGGGGCCGCGCTCCGGCGCAGAGCCGGCCCGGCACCCGCGGGGCCCTGGAGAGCCGCGGCCTCCTGCACCCGGCCTGCAAGGGCAGCGTCGCACCAGCCCCCGGCGCAGCCCCCGGCGCAGCCCCCGGTGCAGCTCTGCATGCCCTGGCCCTGCAGCGCAGCCCCCCAGTCCAGCCCCCCAGCCCAGCCCCACAGCACAGCCCCACGGCGCAGCCCCATGGCGCATGGCACAGCCCTGCGGCCTCCTCCACGGCCGGTGCTCCCACCTGCGCCTGCAAGGGCAGAACGGGGCAAGTGGCTCCTCCTCTCTCCGCATGCTGCAAGGGGACAAGGGGACAAGGGGACGGGGCGGGGGGCCCTGGCTCTGGGGGGGCCCCCTGCACGGCGGCATCCGCCGAGGGCTCTTACTTCTACTGGGAGAGTTCCAGAGGGTGGCGGAGGATTTGGAGAGGCGCTTGTTGATTATAGAGTCCACGTGTTTGGGGAGGTTTACGGCCGACACTGAGCACCGGCTCGCACCTGGAGGAGGGAAAAGACACAAGGGCATTAAGGGGGGCGGGAGGGGGCATGCAGCATGCTCTGCCCGGCACACACAGAAGCCGGAGAGCAGCCGGAGGTGCTCGGGATGCTGCACGGAGCAGATGCCATGCGGGAGGGTGCCGCTCGTGCGGGGACGGTCATGCAACATGGTGCAACGGGGGTGGCCGCAGAGCCCTCGCAGCGGCAGCGCCCGGGGACACAGGGAGCTGCGGGACAGCCCTGCGCCAGTCCCTGCCATGCAGGAAGGCGCCGACGCTCCACAGAGCCTCCGGGCAGCCCCGGCCGCGCTTCCGTCCCAGCAGAGCCACAGGGAGACCCGGAGCGCGGCAGAATCACAGAACCACCGAGGGAGGAAGGGACCTTTGCAGGCTGCGGAGCGGAGCAGCCGGCCGGCCCGGACCCCGCGGCCCCTCGTGTGCCCAGGAGCAGCCGTCCTGCGTGCGGGAGCAGGGCCGCACGGCGGCACCCGCGGCACCAGCGCGAGGCTCCGCCACAGCCGCATGGGCCAGGACGGCACCGCTGCAGCTGCACAGGACCCTCCCGGGAGCTGATGCTCCCGCGCTCACACCAGCCCTACGGAGTCGGCGCCATGGAAATCCCAGGAGACGCCGACGCACCGGCGCAGCCGCCGGCCCCAGCACGAGGGTGGCGCGGGGGCTGCTGCACCGGCCGCACTCACCGTCCTTGTGCGCGGGCGAGCCGTGGTGCAGCGCCCCGGCCCACGACCACCGCTGCTGCCGGATCTCTGCCCACGTCTTCTTGGCCGAGCGCTGGATGGCCGCCTCGTAGCGCTCCTGCCCGCAGACAGGGATACGGTGAAGGGCGGCCGGGACGGCCGAGCCCATGGGAGCCTCTGCGCCCGGTGCCTGCCCGCGCCCACCTTGTTCTTCTGCAGCTTCTGCCGCTGGCGCTCCTCGAGGGCGGCGCGGCGCTGCTCAGCCCTCAGCCGCTGCTCCTCCAGGCGCTTGCGGCGCTCCTCGAGCTGCTGCTCGCGCAGCACCCGCGCCTTCTCCTCCTTCTCCAGCCACAGCACCCGCTTGGCGGCTGCGGGAAACCGGGCAGCGGCGTCGCGCGCTGCACCCGGCCGGCCCCGCGCGTGGGATCTGCCCGACCCAACCCGACCCGGCCGCACGGGCGAGGGAGGAGTTGGGGCCAGGACAAAAGGGAATGCGGGAACCCCGCTGTCTCCGGAACAAAGGGGGAATGAGGGTGGAAAGAGCACGGGGATGGGGAGAGGGGCCAGGCCGAGGGGCCTGCAGCACTGCCGGGCTGGGGGCACCTCTGGACCGTGGCAGCCATGCACAGGGGACACCTGCAGCGGGGGCAGAGCTGCAGCCCTTCGTCGCTAGGCCCAGCGCTGCCCGCGTGGCACCATCCCCGCTCACCCAGGTACTTGGCTCGCTCCTCGCGCCGCTCCTTCGCTTGCTTGTGCCGCGCTTGCGCCTTCTGGGCGTCTGTGGGGAGAGCGAGGCCCTGAGCGTGGCGGCCCCCGCAAGGCGCGGGGACACAGGGACATCCCACGGGGCCCGCCGGGACCCCCGGCACCCACCTGGCTTGGGCCGGGGGCCGGTGCTGGGGCGCTCGCTGCGGGGGGGCGCCTCCTTGGCGGGGCCGGCAGCGCCACCCCCGTCCCCGCCATGGGGCGGCGTCGCTGGGGGGCGGGGGGCGCCAGGGACGGGCTCTGCTCTGGGGGGACACGGGGCGCCGGGCGGGGGCTGGGGGCGGCAGGGGGGACTATCTGCAGAGGGGGCTGCGGGCGGCGGGACGGGGGGCACGGGCTGCGGGGCGGCCGGCTCTGTGCGGGGGGCAGCGGGTGGGACAGGGGCGCTGGGGGGGGCCGCAGCCACGGGGACGGGTGACACGGGCGCGCTGGGGGATGCTGCGGCCAGCGGGACGGGTGACATGGGCGCTCCAGGTGACACTGCAGCTGGCGGGACGGGTGACAGGGGCACTCTGGGTGGTGACGTGGCCGGCAGGACGGGTGACACGGGCGCTCCGGATGACACTGCAGCCAGTATGCCGGGTGCTGCGGGCGCTCCGGGTGATGCTGCAGTCGGCGGGACGGGTGACGTAGGTGGTCCGGGTGACACCGCGGCCGGGAGGACGGGTGCTGCGGGCGCTCCAGGTGACGTGGGCGCTCCGGGTGATGCTGCAGCCAGTGGGCCGGGTGCTGTGGGTGCTCCGAGTGACACTCCGGCTGGCGGGATGGGTGACACGGGTGCTCCGGGTGACGCTGCGGCCGGCGGGCCGGGCCGGCGGCAGGAGCCCCGCGGCGCGGCGGGGCCGAGCGCGCTGTCTGCCATGGGCGCCGTGGTCGGCCCTGCACACGGAGAGAAGAGCACGCGGTGATGGAGCGGGCAGCCGAACGCAGCCCCTCGGGACGGGGCGGCCCGGGGCGCCGGGGACACGGAGCGGCCCTCCCTCCTCCTCCCCCGCGGCGGCTCCGGCGCTCCCGGCCGCGCACACGGAGCCGCTTCCGCCGGCGCTGCCGGGGCGGGCGGCAGGATGGGCGAGGGCCCCACGGGCTGACGTCAGCGCCGCCGGCCCCGTCCCCCCGCGCCGCCGCGCCGGGCCCTGCGCGCAACCATTAACTCATGGCCCAGGAATGCGCATGTGAAGCCGCCGCCGCTGCGGGAAAACAGCCCTCCCGGCACCAAGCAGGGCTCCCCACCTGCTCGCGGCACCCGGGGTTTGCAGCTGAGGGGGCTCAGCCCGCGATGGAGCCGCTCCCCGCACGCTGCCGTGGCACACGCTGCGATGCACCGCAATGCTGCGGCCGCGGGCACCATGCAGCCAGCGAGCAGCCCCTGCAGAGCCGGCACCCGTGTGCCATGCGCCTGTGTGCCATGCACCCATGGGCCACGCACCCATTTGTCCACACAGCCATGTGCCCATGCATCCATGTGCCACATGCCCATGTGTCCATATGTGCCTGTATCCAAGTGTCCATGCATCCGTGCAGAGCTGCCCGGTGACACCAGTGCCCGCAGGCTCTGCTCCTGCCGCGACGGGGCCGTTGTGGCCATGCTTGCTGAGCGCCCCGACGCGCGCCACTGGAGCCTGGGCTGTGCAAACACGGCCGGCGCCGGGCGGCAGAGCCGCTCCAGCCGCAGCAGGGCCGCATGCAGCACGGCGCTGCCTCGGCCTCGCTGCAGCCCGTGGTGCCCGCGCAGCAGCGGGCCCCGCAGCGGTGAGCAGGGCGCTCGGCTCCCTGCATGCTGGGCACCGCTGACGCGCGCTTCTCCTGCTCCGGCGGGCGCAGGATCCGGCCCGTCCCACCGGCACCAGGCATGGCCAAGCCCCGGCGCCCGGCCCAGCCCTGCCGCCATCTGTCCCTGTCGCCGCCGCAGCGCGGCAGCTGCCCTGAAACCCAATGCGGCCCATGCGCCGGGCCGGGGCGTCCCCTCCCCGGGGCTGGGCATTCCGCAGGGGATTAGATTAGCTCCCCCGGCCCGGGAAGAGGTGCAGGCACCGCTCCCCTGCAGCGGGTGCATCCGTCCCGGAGCGGAGCTGTGGTGATGCTCCCATCCTGGTGCCGCGCGGCATTGGGACGGCGCGGGCGCCCGCTGTGGTCCAGGGCTGGGGCACTGCCGGGCTCGGTGCAGGGTCCCCTCTCCGCTGCATCCCTGTGCCGAGGTCCCGGCTGTGGGCACACAGCACCAGGGCGCCCACGTGGCCGGCGCGGCGGGATGCTCAGCGAGGCGTAGCCCGGGTGCGTGAAGCGAGAGCACATTGGCTGCCCGCGGGGACACCCGCCATCCGCGGGGATGCTCACCGCACGGCCGGGGCCCATCCCGCCCGGGGCTTCCCGCACGGAGAGGGCAGCAGAGGCCGCGCGCTGACCTCAGATCCCCCCGCTGCGTCACATCCCTGTGCGCGCCCCACGGCTCCATGCGCTGCTGTGGGGGCCCCGTGCACCCCGCACCCACGCCATGCCGTGGGCACCGCGCAGCCCTCGGCGGCTCCTGCGGGATCCCGCAGGGATGGGATGGAGCCGAGTGCCCCGGAGGGGCAGCCAGGAGCGCAGCAGGCAGCGCAGGGTCCAGCCGCAGCACCAGGCTGGCACAGGGCTTGCAGGGGACGCCCCAGGGGACACTCCCCAGTGCTTCATGGAACCCCTTGCCCGTGCCCAGCGCAGGGCTCCCTGCGGGCCCAGCCTGGCGAGCCAGGCGGCAGGGGAATTCGGGACATGGGATCTCGTGGCCAGAGCAGGGCTGCAGCCAAGGCTCTTCCCAGTGTTTAAAATACCCAGGGAGAGCAGAGCGAACCTGAGCCGTGCTCGGCCACTGCCGCCCCCGCCGCAAACTTTCCATTCGCCCCGGGCCTGGAGCAGCCTCGTCCGGAGGCACCCAACACAGCTGGGCCCAGCACCTGCCACCCTGGGCCTGGGCCATCCTTGGGGTGGCCCATGTGGCTACCCCATGGTGTGGCTACCAGCCCCCCCAGTGCAGCCACCACCCTGGCTGAACTGGACCCTTCCCGGCCGCGCTGGGCCCCTCTGGAGAGCAGATTCCCGTCCACGCTCCCGCCAGCACTGCTCAGCACGCGGCCCCGCACGCGGCCCTGCTCGCAGCCCCGTGCTGCGCTAACCGTTTTGGACAGGGCACCGCGGGACTGTCACATTGCGGGCCCGCGCATCGCATCATGTTGTTCTGGTGGCTCCCGTGTGCGGGCACTGGCGCTGGAGCACCCTGGGCACCCCCGGGACACGGGCCCTGCACTACTGCCAGCCCTGCTCTGCAGGGAGCCAGGGACAGAGCTGCCCCCTCCCACGGGGCTGCGGCTCTGCCGTGGAGCCTGGGAGCCACCAAGGGCCAGGCCGGGCTGCCCGCGGGGCCTGCGGGTGCAAGACGCAGCAGGGCCGGGTGCTCCCGGCCTCCTGCGCCGCCCCGGGCAAAGGATGAAGGACGGGTCCGAGCAGGCACCTTCCCCGGGGAAAGGGGCCGTCCACGTTCCGGCCGCGCCGTGCGCATCCCGCGCTGCCGGGCAGGGCCCCGCGCTGGAGCCGGGTGCAAGGACAAGGCGCCCGCAAGCGCCCGGCACCGCTGGGCCCCGCGGCAGCCGCCCCGCCGTCCCGCGCATCCCGCCGGGCCGCCCGCGCC